TCTCCCTGGAGCCTGAAATTCCATTATGATCAGCAAGCTGTGCTCTCTTGGGGCAGTTTCAGAGCCTGGTTTCACCTGTAGGTCAGCAGGGCTGAAAATCCAGCCCCTGTGCAAAGCTCCTGGTGTGATTTAATCCTCTTTGTCACAATGTTCCTCACACTGACTGGAAAAGTCCCTGCTCTGAGGAACTTGCAGTGTAGTTTCAAGAAGTGTCACGTAAACAACAGGAGCAGAGAGAAGGGAATAGAAATTAGAGACGAGATTTGAGCGATGTGATGGCGGAGCTGATGGGAAAAGGGAAGAACTGAGAGTTACTAAATGGATTCTCTGGTCTGGTGCTTTCTCCAGGGTGAAATCCCAGTGTCCCTGCAGCACACCCTGCTGCTGGAGCGAGGTTTGCTCTGCAGGGCTCCCCAGAGGGGTCTCGTTTGTCTTTGCCCCCCCGGCCCCGTGCCAGGCCCGCAGTGTTCTACAGGAGGGGCCTGCAGACATGCTGAGCTCCCTTCAGGGAAGCCAGGCTCCAAGGAGGGAATATTCCCAGTGCTCTGCACACGGATGGGCAGCCAAGCCTGGCTGTTCTTCCTGGAAAACAGCTCTTTGCACCTTTCTTTTCACAGCAGCAGTATCAAGGGAAGGAGCCTCTGTGCCACTTATTCAGTAACTGGAGAATCCTACAAAGTGACGTTTTGCCAAGTCATTAATGGCTGTTGCCCAACCCCCCTCAGGAAAAAAGGCACAAATTGCTACCACAAACCCTTATCCTGAATTTCTGGTTAAGAACCTATTTAAAAGCCTTTTGCACAGCTCATGATGGGTATTTCTGAAAGCCTTTCTGGCTCTGCTGCTCAGTGGGACTCGCTCTGCATTTGCACTTGGCAGCCAGACAGCCTTTCCTGGAACCTCCGGGACCTGCTGGGCAGGGAGGACACCAAAGTCACCAGTATGGAGAGGTAAAGGATGTGGAGCTGGAGGGTGTCCCTGGTCCCTTGGTTGGTCCTGGGCTCTGGTTTCTCCTTGTCCCTGAATTCTCACTCCCCTCCCTTGACTGGAACTGGCTGAACAGTCCCTTCCCTCACTGCCTTCCCTCACCGCCCTCCTCTAGGATCTGTTTTGCTCACCACAAGCCCAGACTCCTCTCCCACAGTTTCCCCTGTCTCCCTGTTCCTTAATCACTCTTCTCTTCTCTGCAATCCAGTAAATATATTCAGGAATAGCTTTCCAATAACCCCCAGGTCTCCAGAATGGGCTGTGTCCCTCCTCCCTTGGCCAGGACACTCCGTGCCAGAGGGAGCAGCCTCCCCCTGTACCTGGCAGTTTAAATCCTGACCCAGCTGAGTGCCCCTGGTTTGTTGGTTCATTGCCATCACAGTTCCCACAAGCTCAGCTCAGGATTAACTCTCCTCTAAATGATTGTTCTCTGAAGAGGCACCAGGTGCCTGGGGGGCCTGTGGGGCCACCCAGCCCATGTGGGCACAGCCAGAGGCCACCTTGTGCCCAGGCCCCTTTTGTGGCTCTCAGGGAAGCTGTGGCTGAAGAAGAGGCCTCTCACCTCCAAAGGATTTCCTGGAAGGACTTGGCTTGGGACAGGAAGGCTTCTGAAGCAAATCAAACTGACTCCAGGTCACTCTGAAGAAACACATCTGGACTGCTTTTAGGAGCTCTTAAATCCCTGGAGGTGCTCAAGGCAAGGCTGGATGGGGTTCTGAGCAAACTGGTGGGAGGTGTCCCTGCTCTGGGGAAGGGCTGGAAGGGCTCTAAGGTCTCCTCTTCTCCAGGCTGATTCCAGTTCATTTTGGAATTCACCCTCTAAAGGCTTTCTGGGGATGACACAGACAGGAGGTTAAAGATGAGCTCACCTGAACTCCAACCCTCTTGCTTTACCAGACCCCACGTTCCACAAAATATCTCTGACCAGCCAAGGTTGGTGTTTCCTCTCTCCCCCAGTTTGGCTTTTGAATGAAGCAGCACAGCCTCATCTCTGCCTCATCTCTGCCTCATCTCTGCCCTCAGCAGGACCTGATTCCAGCCACATCCCACAGATGGGAACTCCTGCCCTTCCTACAGAGGGAGGAAAGCTGCCTGTGCTGGGAGGGAGGAAAGGGCAGGGAATTCTCCCTCTCCTCTGCCAGAGCTGCCCAGCCAGCTCACACAGGCAGGGGGTGTTGTGCCAGGAGGGGTTTGTTTATCTGAAAGCAAAGAAAGAAAAAGAACATATATAAGAAACTTTGTGTGGGAGAAGGGACAGGGATCACACGGGGAGCTGGACTGGTATCCTTGGAGGGGTGACCCAGACACACTTCACTCGTGGCAGGTTCCTTTTGCTGACAGAATTTAATTTTTCACTCTAATTTTGATGTAATAACACACAAATGCCAGTTAATGGCACTCTCTGCCCCAGTGTTGGGTAAAACCTTTATATAAACCTTTGTAAAGCCCTGGGTAGGACCCTGGGCAGGACTGTGCACAGGGAGTCCCAGCTCCCCAGACTGACATTTTTTAATTAAGAATACACATCAACAGATAAACAAAATTTAACTCCCACTTTAGCTGCCAAGTTTTCCACAGACTTCACTTCACCCCATCCTAAAAACTTCACGATTTTGCAGCAGGTAGAAAACAATTCAGTAGAAAGATGATGCCACTGGGGACATCCTTAAAAACACATATAATTTTTCATAAGAAAAAATAAATCAGATCAGGTCTTTCTTTACAAAATATGCTTTTCTTTTACAAATATTTTGCTTAGTTTTTGCAATAAATAGTTCATCAGAGTTAACTAGTACTTTTAATATAGATATATATATATATTAAAATTGCTTTTTAATGTCATAATCAGTGCCAGGTATTGCCACAACTCCTTAGGGAGCCACAACCAGCAGTGGCAATGATTGTATATTGTTTAGTTCCTCATTTACAGCCAAGTTTCTTGTACTTTTAAAAAAATGATTCTGTCAAAAGTCTGTGCCCACACCTTTGTCTATGGATTTTTACTGTCTGAAGAAAGCAGCAATAAGGAGATAAACCCAACAGTGCCTTTGTTTTCCTTTTCCAAGGGAGCATTTAGGTCTCCCCTGAAGCTGTTCCTACTCCTGAGTCGGAATCTCCTTGTTCAGAGCCCTGGGGGTGCTCTGGTGTCTCGCTGGCCTCATCCTCAGCCTCATCCCTGGGATTCTGGGAATCTTCTGGAATGACAGTCAGCTTGTCACAAATAAGATGTTCTTCTTGTGGAAGTGGAGAGAAGGACTGTGGAGCAGTGGGAGGTTTGCTCAAGAACTGTGGGAAAAAAGAGGAAATGAGAATGAGGTTGCACTGGCTGGACCATCCTGTTTGCTCAGAAATACTGTTACTGTTAAACCAGAGATATTGTTTTCCACACATCAGTCGCTTTTCTCAGTCCTCACAAGTCCCAGAGGGGCAACAATGTCACATCCTCTCTAACATCCTGTTCCGGGCTTGGGAGCAAACTGGGAGTGCCTTTATTTGGAATAATAACCCCAGGGGTGAGCGACTTCTTTGGGATAGAAACTTCCTTGAAAAGAATCAAATACCAGGTTTGATGTGAAACAAACACTGAAAACTGTGATTTGTCTGAGGGGAAGGAGTTCACAGAGAGATCTGTTAAATACCTACGGGAAATGTGACTTGTTTGTGCCACCTCAGAGAGCAGAGACATCAGTGATGCTTGAAATGTCTCCTTGAACAATAACCTTTTGGCCAAGGTGAGGGAGGGGGATGTGCAGGGCCATGGGGTTCAGTGAGGAAATGGCTTCATTTTGGTACTGAGAGAGGACACCTTCCTGCCCCTGCCTGCTCTGCTGCCAGGCTGGGACAGCCTCCTCTTCTCCAGGCTGAACAATCCCAACCCTCTCAGCCCTTCCTCAGAGCAGAGGGGCTCCATCCCCCTCATCATCTTGGGGGGCCCTAAGAAGAAATAATTCTGAATTGAATTTTGCACAAGAAACAAACTGCCCTACCAGGAATCCTGCTCAGTGTAATTAAAGAAATAAACACAGGTATTAATACTGCTGGACTATTAGGTTTTTCTAGCAAACTGTGATTTGAAATGTGCTGGCACTAACATGCAGTCACATGCACATCCTTGTTTCTTGGAGGGGATCTGCTGCAGCCCTTTTGTGTCCTCTGTGTGTAACAGGGTCTGTGGCCAGGTGAATGTTCACTGCCTCCTTTGATCTGGAATTTTCAGATTCCAGAGGATCAGAGATTCTCTGCAAGCTCACCCAGTTCCAACCCCTGCCATGGACAGGGACACCTTCCCCCAGCCCAGGTGTCTCTGGGACACTTGGCCTGGTCCAGGTTTACTGCCCTACACTCTTCACTGAAGTTAAAACAGTTATTGCACTGGTGACAGAACTTTGTTGCAGGAGAACAAATGTGCTATTTTAAGCCCCAAATGAGACAGGACAGACAGAGATCTCAGTTGCTCACCAGTTAAATGGGGAACTGAAGTTGACACCTGTTATTCTCTCACTTTAAAACGAAGGAAAACATCCTGTTTCTGAGCCATATAAAGCTGCTTATTACAAATTACAGTTTGCTGGCAATCAGGTGCAAATGGAATAGGGCAAAATAAAAGAAGATCTGAAGGTTTTGGCACCGAGAGCCTTGGAAAAGCAAGTGGTTCTGCTGAAAAGGCTGATTTTGGTGTGTTAGGCAGGAAACAAACCTCTTTCAAGTGTTGTGGGAAAATATAGGAAGGGCAGAAAACATGTTTGGTGAGTCGGATGAGGTAAAAAAAGGAGAAGAAACAGACAGGGACTGTGATGGCCACGGCCAGCATGGAGCCAAGGAGCACTGTCACAACCACCCACACCGGAGTGACGCCTGCAAGAGAGGAGGGGAAACGATTACAGCTGCAGTGATCCATTGCTGAGGGATTCCTTCCAAATGAGCACTTTCCCTATGGAATGCCCCATCCCTGGGAGTGTCCCAGGCCAGGCTGGACAGGGCCTGGAGCAACCTGAGCCAGCAGAAGGTGTCCCTGCCCACGGAGAAAGGGATGAGCCTTAAGGTCCCTCCCAGCCCAACCCAGTGTGTGATTCCATGATTTCCCAGTTCCCCCCTGCTGCCCCAGGCTTTACCATTGTGGGTTGTCTTCTCACACAGCTCCCTGCTCAGCTCCCCTATCTTGTTCCAGTCGGGAATCACCGCCTGCACTTGGACACAGTAACATGTCCATGGCTCCAGCTGGGACAGGATTTCAGAGTTGTGTTGGGTATCTACCTGGGAGACCTACAGGCAGAGAAAAACACCACAGATGTGAAGAGCATGGCAGCAGTGACTGGAATAGCTAAGGAATTAGCTAAGGAATTAGCTAAGGAATAACAATTACAGTTACAAGAGTACTGTGAAACCACTCCCACCAGTGACCTTCTGGCTGTTTCTAGCAGCATGAATGAAGTTTTAGGCTAATGAGAAGAGATAAATGAGATATGTTTGCAGACAGAAACTGGCCCCCAAGCAAATGAGATCAACTGAGAGCACTGCTACAGACAAACAATCTAACTGGAGAGGCAGCAAGTGGGATGGGTGAACAGGACAAGAGGAAACGGCCTCAAGCTGTGCCAGGGGAGTTTTAGACTGGAAAATAGAGTAGGGAAAATTTCTTCACCAAAAAAGTTGTCAAGCCCTGCACAGGCTGCCCAGGGAAATGGTTGAATCACCATCCCTGGAAGAGTTCAAAAATGTGTGGATGTGGCACTCAGGGACACAGTTTAGTGGTGAACACAGTGCTGGGTTAAGGGTTGGACTCGGTGATCTGAGGGGGCTTTTCCAACCTTCACAGTTCTGTGACTCTGTGATCCAGACAAAAGGAAAACCAAAAAAAGAGAGAAAAAGGCTTCTGCAGGCTGTGAGATGAGTGACAGCAGAACTTGCTGTTTAGAGGCACAATCAGTCATGTCCCTGTAAGTGCAGAGTAAAGGGGTCCCTACAGTATGTCCTGTTCTGCAGTAACAGAGCCCTTCTCAGCCTGAGGAGACTCCATAGCCAGGTTTCAACCTCTGAGCAATCACACACTCCAAAAATAAACTGTAAAGTTACACAGTCTCTGCCCTTTGCTTCTTTGATCCCTAGGAAATCACTCAGACCCCCCCAGAAGTGTTACAAGCACAGATCCTGACTGCAGTTCCTGCTTCCTCTGGCAAATCCCTCTGAGTCTGCACCCCACATGCAGAAATACCTTCCTTTTTAGGAGGATGGGAACTGCAAACCTGGGAATTGCAAAAAAAAGTCTGCTTTTTGGGAGATGATGATTCCTCATTTTCTGGAACTGAATTGTGCAGGGTAACAAACACAAATCAGAATTATACACAGTGCAGCCCCATTCTGTGAAAACTGTGCTGATGTGAAAAGCACTAATTAGACAGTGATGGTGTCTGCTGGTCTGAGGCTTCCTCTTTTCCTGTAATAGAACACATGATCCTATAATTATTTTATTATTTATCATCTTTCTCCAGGCACTGTGAATAGAGAAGCCTTTTGGGCTGAGTAACACATTTGCCTGTGGAAGAAACTGTTCATGAGAGGGAGAAAGTGAATTACACAGGCAGAAATTGGAGAGGTGAGCACAGTTAATGTAAGGCCTCACCCACTTTGGGGGATTCAAAGCCCAAAGTTTCCTGAAGAGGGAATAAACTCTCAGAATGTAGCAGTTATTTGTAACTATGGAAAGAGACAATTCCATCCATGCTACTGTTTAACTACCCAGCCCCCTGCCCTGTGCTCCCAGTCACTGTTGTAGTGACTGGGCTTGATTACACTGTAATTAGTAGAGATTATTGTACTTTCGCCTGTCACAATCCACACTGGTTTGGGTTGGAAGGAACTTTAAGCCCTATTCAGTGCCACCCTGCCATGGCAGGGACACCTTCCACCAGCCCAGGTTGCTCCAAGCCCCGTCCAACCTGGCCTTGGACACTTCCAGGGATCCAGGGGCAGCCTGGGCCAGGGCCTCCAGGAGCTTTCAGAGCCTCAGCAGGGTGGTGTTTTCCCAGGAAAAGCAGAGATCAAAGCCCCCCTACCCTGGAAGCAGAGGTGGGGTCTGTAGTGCTGCCTTTCTTCCAGTACAGGATCCTGTAGCCCCACGAGCCGTAGTACTGCCTCAGAGACCACCTGTCCTGCTTGTGCTCAGCAAAGGGGCCCGAGAAGTCCACGTGCAGGGCCCCAGACTCCGACTCCACCTTCACTTCAGGGGGCCCAATCACTGCTGCAGGGGGGGAGAGAAGAAAGGGGGGAATTCAGCTTCACAGTCGTTTCAATCTGACATTTTTATACAACCCACGATGATTCACATTCGAAATAAATTTATCTGTTGGAAGAAAGCAATGTCTTTTCAGAGGTCAGGCACAAATAAATCCTTTCCTCGTGGAGAGGTCTGGAAAGGGGGTTATTTTTTCGCAGTTAAACAACAGACACCAGTGCAGACTCCATTCCCCATGCCCTGGATTAGCTCAGTTCCCTTTTGCCAGCTGTGGTGACTCCTGGGAGAGGAAGGACTATTTCCATGGTTATTACTCACTTCTCCTTCTGGGCCAAGCTGTCACAACATCTGTTTTTCCTCAGGAGACCCTCTAGTAAGGTGTTTTAATGTTGTTTTTTTTCTACTGTGATTATTTTGAAAACCAGAAACCTTTGAATTATTGCTGTGTGTGTTACTGATTGTCTTCCTTAAACTGAAGGTTATGCCCTTGCCTCCTGTAAATGGCTTGTCCTTGTTATGGCATTGTGGCACTACCTAAATTATTTCATGAGTAACTCATAATTCCATAAATCCCTTATAATTCCAGCAAACTCTGGTTGCCTCTAGATGCATCACAGGGCTGTACATTCCTACAATGCTCATGAACATGTTCTTGAACTCAGGAACAATAACGTGAGGACGGTCTTGGTGCCCCTGGTTTTCTCAGGCTGATCCTACAGCACAGTGTGGAATTCCTTACAGAAGCACCAGCAGAAATAAGAACAGAATCCCAGAATTGTCAGGGCTGGAAGAGACCTCTGGAGATGATCCAGTCCCACTCCCTGCCCAGGCAGGGTCACCTGGAGCAGGGGACACAGGACCATGTCCGGGTGGGGTTGGGATGTCTCCAGAGAGGAGACTCCACAGCCTCCCCAGCAGCTGTTCCAGGCTCTGCCACCCTCAAGGGAAAGAAGTTTTTCCTCCTGTTGTGTTTTAGTTTCTGGCCATTGCTCCTCCCCCTGGCACTGGCACCACTGAGCAGAGTCTGGGGCCGTGCTCTGACCCCCTGGGAGACCCTGGTGTGGAGTGCTGGATCCCCTGGGAGCCTTCCCTTCTCCAGACTGAGCAGGCCCAGCTCCCGCAGCCTCTGCTCAGCAGGGAGATGCTCCAGACCCCTCAGCACCCTTGGGGCCCTCCTGGACCCTCTGCAGTGGCTCCTTGTGTTCCCTGCACTGTGGAGCCCAGAACTGAACACAACACTCCAGCTGTGCCTCCCAGGGCCGAGCAGAGGGGCAGGATCCCCTCCCTGACCTGCTCCAATGCTCTTCCTGGTGCATCCCAGGATCCCAATGTCCCCCCGGCCCCCAGGGCACCCTGATGGATCATGGTCACCTTGTCAGGACCCCCAGAGCTCTCTGCAGCAGGTCAGGTGAGCCCAGCACAGAAAGGAGTCACAGACACACAGAATCTCACACACCTTTATGTGACACCCTCTCACCAGCTGTGGCAACCCCACAAACCCTCCTGTCCTCCCTGGGGATTTGCCCACTGCCCAGTGCCCCCAGGCTTCCCTGCCAGTACTTTTAGTCCCTGACTTTCCCATTCAGGATTAAGCTGCCTTCCCAAAGCCAAGCCAGCTCCCAAGGCCACAGGCTCTTTCAAATATATGTCAAACATATACACCTCTGTCAATGATTTACTGGTTTTCTCTCCACTCTGAGAACCCCTCCACACTTTTTATTACATTTTCTTCTGGCTGTAGTTTATACCTTCAGAATTGTAATTTTTCCACACCATGTTTCAGTGCTTCTATGCTGGGTAGGTTAAATTGTGTCACAATTATCTGTTTTAAAGAGATAACCAATAAGAGCCTTTGGAAAAACAACGCTGTTAAATGTAAAATTCCACTCTGAAATCCAAGAATGATGAAATTCAAGCAAGTGGAGGTGGGGCAAGAAAAAAAATCATATTTGTAAAGGTTTTTCTCCAAGGTGAGGTGGAACAGAAGCTTCCTGTGTGATTTTGTGTTAATGGCTGTGAGGAGAAAAAAGCACTGGGTAACATGAACTAAATAATCTAAAATATTTTCATTTTTGTTCATGATTAGAGTAAGAATGTACAAACCACAGGATGCTCAGTGGTAAAACCCACTCTCAGTGCCAAGCTCAGCAACACAATTAACACCTGTGCTGTGCACTCTAATCAAGGCTATGCCTAAATCTTCCCTCCCAGAAGAGTGTAAAGCTTCACTAAGAGAATGGCAATATTGTGTATATATTGTGAATATTGGGCAAGCAAGTTTTCTTGACTGAAAATTAATCTTTCCCTGTGAAACTGGGGTTTTTTTGAATGAAGACAAAAATAAAAAGAAAGCATTTTGTCTGGAAAAGCAATGAGGAAGCAACTTTCCACCAGCCCAGGTTGCTCCAAGCCCCGTCCAACCTGGCCTGGGACACTCC